TAAAAACATACGTTTTATAATAAAACACTTAGTTACAAATAACAATAGGGTTAAACACACTTTCAAAATAAGTAAAAAAAAACTGTACGAGATTAATTGTATGCATTGACGCAAATGACACTTTGTTGTTATACATTATGATATATGACTATTTTGTTTTGAATTGTTTAAAATTAAAATCGATTTGACTTTAGAAAACTGTAGTGGAGACTGTGCATATCACCTGTGGTTTTATGATGAAGATTGCTACGCTCTTATAATCTATATTATATTTCATTGTACAACTCATACATCATCGAAACCAAAATAACCACATCCAAATATCATTAATACTTTTATCATACGTCATGTTTTATTTGTTAACATAATTAAAATATCTATACATTTTGTTAAAAAATAATCCTTTCTTAAATTCACTTTTTAGCAAACTTGTTATTAAAGATTTTTAACAGCTACATGACAATTACTTTTATATGCTTTTTATATTTGTACCCAACACTTGTTTATTTAACCTATTTTTCAGGTTGCTTGGATGTATCAGTTAACATGGTTAGAAACGATTTTAAAAGAAATTTGAATCAATATTTTCCAAACAGTACAAACGCCACTCAATCCGAAAGTGTATTCAAATGTGCATATTTGTGTACAAGAAATGGCGATTTTTTTACATTCTTGGTACGTATACCAATTTGATATAAAATATCTAGACCTAATCATACATACATGCAAAGTTTTATCACTGATTCAAAGTATACGTTCGCGTACATGTAATAGGGAGTTATTTCGGAAATTGATAACAATGCTTGAGTATTTAGAACTCCTTGACCTATATCAAAATATCGATAAAATGATAAATATAGCATTTATACATTAAGAGATGAAATCAATTATGAATATATGCTATTAAAGCGTAGAATGTACGAAACAAGTGTCAAAAAAGAGAATTGTTAAAACATTTCATTAATTTTACATTTCTTGATACTCTTTCCTTTATTAATGTCATCTTATTGGTTTGATAATTTGGCTTAATGATCCAAATTCAAACCGTCTCGTTGGTCTCGTGGTAGTGTGTTCGCCTCGAGTGCTGGAGGTTGTGGGTTCGAACCCCGGCCGGGTCAAACCAAAGACTAAAATTGGTTTTTGCTGCTTCTCCGCTAAGCACGCGGCATTTAGGAGTAAGAGCAAAGACTGATCGGATCGGAGTCAGAATAACGTGTCCGGGTAAGGTGACATGTCTTCCTACGGACTGTTACCTTGTAAACTAGCACTTTAAAAATCCGTCTCAGCGTGTTTGTCGAGTACAAAGTAGGGTTAATTTTAATATTACATTAACATGTTCTCGTCCTGAATATGCATATTAATTTGCGGCTGGACGTTAAGCAGCCATCAATCATCATCACCAAATACAACGGGTCACCGGCTCTCTGTTGACGTTCTAAATACTTTACATTTAAAAAGAGACAGAAGATGCTAACAAAGAGACATACGACGCCTTAGGGACGATTCAACAAAAGACTCATCAGTGACGCTCGAATAAAAAAGTTAAAAGGCCAAAAATGTACTGAGTTGAAGAGCACTGAGGACCCAAAATTGCGCAGGCCTTTTTCCATATACAGGTCAGGTGTATTACATGGCTACAACATTCTTAGTATTTCGAACAATACAAAGTTTTGTAATTAGTTAATAATGATTTCCTGAAAATTGATATATCCGCAAAGTATGATGATAAAAGTAAAACAAACATTCAAAATTCAATTGTGAAATAATAATAACCTTCGGAAGCTCACATGGTTTCATATGCCTCATATTACTGTTCGTTAAAAATGAGGCAAAAGAAAGCAAGGGGACATAAAAGGATAACAAGAATTTCAAAAGTTTAGACAGTACTATCGACACCATCAATCAACAACACCCGACTCATCCGACAAAATTACAAATAAGCAATAACGGACAACACGTATTTTTTATCTGTTCGGAACTAATATCACACGCTAATATACATTAACTGGGGTAAAAAGTGATGCATAGTCTACTCTCTCTATCTATTGATATAGTCTAACGTTTGATTTTGTCAGGTTTTATGGACCTTCCCCTTTTTGATTATACCTTGGAGTTCGGTATTTTTATTAATACTTTTTTGATATGTTAGGCATGATTATGCTTCATCCTATTGTATTTTCGGAAAGTCTTTTCTAAAACAACAGATAAAAAATTCAACTTTGTTGTCATTATTTAACTAATTCAACTTTGTTGTCAATGCTTTAACTAATTCAACTGTTTTTTTCTTAGAGACGAGTTTGTAAGTGTATTCATAAGAACGAACTGATGTCAGATATAGTGGAGCGTCCAGTCTGTATGTCCGCAGATTTAGAGAACGCGCATAATATTGATGCAGTTTATTCGATATCGCATTCTTCAATTCCAATGTTCAAATTTGAAACAGGTATGCCCCTATCAGCAGAAACTGTTCTCTTAAAAATTAAGTTGACTCCATCTTGGATAATCCTCAATGAAATGTTTAGCTTAGATTACTTGAACCGCCACTTTTTCATTATCTTTAGAGTGTGACATGTTATGAGCAATACATAACTCATCAAATATAAAAGTCGTTTAATTTGGTATGCCAGACGCGGGTTTCGTCTGTATGAGACTCATCAGCGACATGTTGAAAAGCCAAGTCATATTTTAGAACATATTAAAAATCGAAATTTCGAAAAGTTATGCCAAATACATCTACGGTATACTTTGCCTCTTGTTAGACAAATCTTAATGTTTTGAATAATTCAACGTTTTATAAAAGTTAATTTACAAACATTGAACATATCAATGATATTTCATGTCAACACAAAATTGACGATTACTGGCCTGGTGATACATGTGATACCCTCGGATAGGAAACGTCCACCAGCAGTGGCAGTGGTTGTGAAACCTCATGAAAATACCAGGAGTATAACTTGCATTGGTACTTCATCAACAGGGTTGAGATCCTAAAACAAAGACTGCTCCAGAGTTAAGAAGAAGAACGTCTATAATCGACACTACATAAGTTCTACGGTCACCATTACGAATTGGCTGACCGACGTTGTGTCGACCTAATAGCGACATGTTTTTACGATTTTAGATCTTTAAATATAAGTAAAGGTGTCAGATCGGTAATTTTGACTGATTGTGATTTCGCTTGGTGGGTGATGAATGCATATTAGGAGACACTTACCTTGTCGACGCACGTGGTCTTTCTCCTTTTTGCATTTATGCAGATCCATCTTTTGTTTGTTATATAGATTTGTATCTTCTTAATGGATTAACGAGTTTTGGACATCGGTAAACTACTGCGGCTTTAACACCTCAAGAAATAAAATTACAAAAAGAAGCAGTCAATACCCTAAATATACTCTACTGTATTTCAACTTTAGAGAAAGGCAGTATAAATATGGGTTTGTATCAATGAAATGTTCATGTTATTTGTTTAAAGTTTGGAGACTGCTGTTTGTCTTGTCGAAGTTTTTCTTTTTGTCAGGATATTGTCTTTTGTCTTTGAATTATGATAATTGATTGTTCTTAGTAGTGTCTGTCTCTACTTACACTTTGTTACTTACATTTTTTTCTAACCTTAACATCAGTTAAAAATGAAGAAATCTGAAATCAATAGCATGTAAATTGGTTTTACTTTCTGGTTGTGTTAAAAAAAATACAAACACAATATCTTATTGACTGTCGTACAAATTAATCCAAATCTAAGTTAAAACAGAATAATGACATACATGTAATGCTATATTAATATCTTTCATTTACCTTAGAATTTTCGACTAAAGGTATTCAAAAGAGTGGAATAGAAGGCATTAAGTATAACTGCCTGACAAAAAGAAAAGATGGTACTTTCATAAGCAATAACTGCAGCTCTAACAACATAATTCATTGTGCAGATGGCAAGTATTTAAAACGAGATTAAGTTGATCCTTTATAACACAATGGTTTTAAAACAATTAATATAGGTAAAGTAAAATTAATATGCATTTACTTTCTCGACAAACAAACTAGTACTAGAGCGGTGGACGTGTGTCTATTTGTAAATATCCTCAGCTATCTACATGCGTTTAGGTGAGTTGCAAATATACATTTTTGATAAACAGTTCAACGAACTTATGTAGTACCTAATACCCTTCTTTCACAATACTTGGGAATAACACCTGAAATCATTAAAATTGTCCCTTCCTAGAATTGTATGTGCTTCTGATTCAATTTGATTAAAGACATATGAAACGAGCTTCTTAAAATTTTACTGTTAACAAAATTATTGAACCAATGCATGCATATATCCTAAACCCATAACGTATAATTGACAAAACATATTTCATTCAGTGATTGTTGATCGCAAATTAATTAATTTTCGATTTTGTTGCCGAAGTTTACCAAACTGTGACATTGATTCAAAATCAACACAGAATCAAGTAGCACGTGAAAAATAAGCGATTGTATTTTTCATATTTTCCATGCGTTTCCAATTATTAATTCAACTTTGCAATAACAGTTGTTTGATGATTTGGTGTATTAAATTGCTCTTTTAGAATCAATTAACACAATAAACATACAGTCCACGTTTGTTTTCATTCTTTAATTAACGGGTTTTCACTCGCACTTACACTGTGCGGTTGCCGAGGTTCTAACGAGAGGTCTCGTGGTTAAGGCCACTGCGTACGGAAAATCTATCGGCGATTTAAATTACGGGAAGACAATATTTCAAAAGAAGTACATTTATCAAGATTTTGATAACTAAACTAAAGATAACGGATTTTCTTCTACAAGAAAGTCAACGCGCACTTGTTTTAGGGTAAAATTTAACCTTTAAAGTGTATAAAACATACTAAATTTTCTTTTTGTAAATTCGACGTTTCATATGACTTAATTATTAACTAAGTATTTCCATAAAATGATAAACGTAATTGTTTAATTCATTATATTAGAGGGAAATACATTATTACTCCTACATCATTAAAATTGTAGGTCATAGGGCATACGGAACATGGAGTTATGCTATTAACTTATGTTTACTCAGGAATGAATCACTTTTAAAAGAGCGGAATAACAGTTCGGACTACTGGTTAGGATATTTCATGTATGAAGAAGGTAGGATAATACATAATACCAATTCAGTAAACAAATTGAACTATGGAGATGTTGTAAGATTGAGCCAATGAGACAGCTTACAAATACAGACCAAAGGACGATAATGTTTAGAACATATACCACAACACGGCATTCAACAATCAGCATGAACATACCTCAAAAATAGATGTAAAAGGCCCCGGTATGACAAAAATAAGGAACAATTCAAAAAGTCAGTTCTACGTGCACACCAACAACTTCAGTCTACCATTGAAGGTAGGTAATGATCATTACATAACTTACCGGTAACACAATCAACACTGCAGTGGGTGGAATGCAATACCCCTAAACCATTCAAATTACGAGCACGTGCCACCAAAGATAACATTGGGAGAAATTTTTTTTAATTTGATTTCTTTCAAATACGTATTTCAGATTTTCTTTAGCTATAGCGGATTTAAATATTAGATAATGGACAAAACTGACATATTACACCATGTATTCTATTTTTAGCCATGTCAGCCATGTTGGTTGGCAGGCTGGATCATTGGACTCATTTTTGAAACTAGTAGATACCCTAATGATGATTGTGGCCACGATTGGTTCTAATTGGCTCCGTAGTTTCAGAGGAGAAAATTATTGTAAAAGTTAACGGACGACAACGACAGACAACGGACGCAAAGTGATGAGAAAATATGGAACGCCACAGCTGTCTTATGTGGAACTCTGATATAACGTTATGTTGTTTTATTATTACTTGATGATAGTTTGTCTTTACATAATATGGTTTTGACATTACGTAATGATGTTTTGATATAACTCAATATGGAATAGTCATTACTTAATGATATTCCGATATTACATGATATGGTTTCGTATTGACCTGATATAGTTTTGTCATTACTTAATATGGTTCTGTCATTACTCGATGTGGTTTCACCATTATTTGATGTGGTTATGTCATTAGGCAATGTGGTTTTAACATTACTTGATGTGTATGTGACATAACGTAATGTAGTTGTTTCATTACATGATGTGGTTTTGTTATTTCGTAATAATGATTTGTCAATTCTTTATATGGCTTTAACATTACGTAATGATGTTTCAAAATTTGACGATTTTACACTACATAATGTGTTTGTTTCAGTATTTGATGTGGTTATGTCATTCTTTGATGTGGTTATCCCATTACTACTACGAGGTAAAACCACTTGACCATTTTGGAAAAAAATATGTTCTATTTTTAGACCGATTTCCATATGTCGTTTGTGTAATGCGCTTTGGATGAGTACCGCTATTCATTAAGTTAAAGTTCAAATTAAAGTTCAAGTTGTTGTTCATAGTTATTTGGTATGAAAAAGAGGAACGACAGACAAAATTAAGAAAAGAAGTACTAAAACATTTACAGTAATTCGGACATAAGGGGGATATCCCAAAACCACTTGCCGGTTTTTCCTTAGTTCTCAAATGGAAGCAGTATTATAATAAATTCGTAAATGATTCCAAGGAAGACTGTTTATCTTGGTCCTGAAGAATAACTCCTATACAAGTTTTATAACAATTCATGGAGGTTTACAAATTTATCATGTCAAAATAGTTTAATTCGGTAATATTCAATGCCAAAAAAAACCTTACATAGAAATAAAAAAAAATGTGGTATGATTGCCAATGAGACAACTCTCACCCACATACCAAATGACGTAGAAGTTAACATATATGTGTGACTGTATGGTCTTTAAGAATGAGCAAAATTCATACCACATAGTAAGTTCAAAAAGGTCTCGAAATGAAAAATATAAAAAACAGTTCAAACTAGAAACCTAACAACCTAAATGATGAGGCTAAGCAACAAAGCATCAGTTCTATAAAATAAGAATTCTACAGGGTTTTTTTTAGCGTGTATGTTCATTTGAACATATGAATATTAAACTTTTTTTTATTAATTGCAGTTTCTGATATACCACGCACTAATTGAAAAAAAAACTTTTTGAAATATCTGTTTCACAGGTGACGACGAATAGGTTCCAGTTGTCGTAACCACAATCCCGTCATCTTTTCCTCGAATGTAAACTACCAAAAAAACCAAATCAATGAGTTTTTACTTTCACGAATAAAACGACGGGTGCCACAAGTTAAGCAGAATCCGCTTACCCTTCCAAAGCACCCGAGATCACGCTGATGGATTTATGTTACCCAGTCATACTGATCTATTTAGTTGAGCCAATCAAAACTGTCTTAACATTTTCTTCTTATGCTGTGCTATGATACACTAGGTTATGCTAGGGATTAGCGCTTACATACATGTTAAACTCCGCCTCGTGCACTTTCTTTAAATGCCTGCCCCAAGTCAGGAACCTGGAGTTCAATGGTTGTCGTTGTTTAATGTGTGTCATATTTGTTTTTATACGCCCGTCAAAATTTTGATTGTACGTATTATGGTATACAAATATCGTCTGTCCGTCTGTCCGTCTGTCTGTCCGGCGTAAACATGTCGCACCGTAACTTGAGAACGACTTATCCAAATTTCATGAAACTTAAGATAGTTGTTTCTAATGATGGTCAAACGATCTGTATACTTTTTGGTGAAAATAAGATTAAAACTTTTTGAGTTACGGGACTTAGTAACTAAAACAGGTGTGTGTAATTTTTTCCCATGTCGAGCGGTATCACAAAAACAATTTATGATTATTGCTTAAAACTTTACACACTTCTTAGTTATATTAATCTTAAGATCTGTATACTTTTTGGTGATGATTCAAAATTTTATTTTTGAGTTATTGAGTATTTTGTAAAAAAAAAAGGGGGAGGGGTTTTTCACATGTCGCGCCGTATCTCAAAAACGATTTATGATTATTGCTTAAAATTTTATACACTTCTTAGTTATATTAATCTAAAGATCTGTATAGTTTTTGGTTTTGATTCAAAATTTATTTTAGAGATATTGATTTTTTGTTTTTTTTTTCAAAAGGGGGGTTTTCACATGTCGCGCCGTATCTCAAAAACGATTTATGATTATTGCTTAAAATTTTACACACTTCTTAGTTATATTATTCTTAAGATCTGTATACTTTTTGGTTTTGATTCAAAATTTTATTTTATAGATATTGAGTTTTTAAAAAAAAAAGAGGGGGGGGGGGGTCTTCGCATGTCGCGCCGTATGTCAGAAACTATTTATGATTATTTCATAAAAATTCACACACAGGACGACGGGCGTATCATGCGCTCATGGGGAAGCTGTTTATTGTTTAGCTATAAACTAGACCATTAGTTTTCTCGTTTGAATTGTTTCACATTTTCACGTGGTGGTCTTTTGTAGCCGACTATACGGTGTGTTGAAGGCTGTACGGTTGCCTATGATTGCTTGCATCCACTGCATTTAAACTATGGTGGATAATTTTCTCATTGGCAATTACACCACATCTAACTTTATTTCAATTTCTATGTTGTGTTTTGTATGCTGTAAAATTGTTTATCTTCTGTACGCATACCTACCCCTGAATCCTCTTTTCGGAAGCTCGAGCAAAAGCCCTTGATCCACGATAAAAAAAAATAGAACTCATATCAGATAACTCGAATTTCAACTCTTAATCTTAATCTAAATGAGACTCAAATAAGGGTTTACCTCGAACTCTACGCCAAAAGGTGACTCAAATTTAAAGTTGAAGTCCAATTGTAATTCGGAACTCTATCTTTAAATGTGACTCAAACTCGAAGTTCAACTCGAAATTTGGTATGTGGTTGAGAGTTGTCTCATTGGCAATCATACCACATTTCTTTATTTCTATATAAGGTTTTTTTTAATGCATTTAATATTACCGAATTAAACTGTTTTGACATGATAAATTTGTAAACCTCCATGAATTGTTATAAAACTTGTATATGAGTTATTCTTCAAGATCAAGATAAAAGCATTTATAGAAAAACATGTTTTCCTCCGTTAAGTGTACCGGTTAATGTACAGGCAGTCAACATTTACTTTACGCTTTACACTGACAGCAGAATTATCCGGCGAGACACAAGGTTAATAAGAATCTTTAATTTATTTATTAATTTACAGCTTCCATTTGAGAACTAAGGAAAAAACGGCAGGACCAAATGGTTTGGGATATGTCCGAATTACTTTTAATTTTTTAGTACTTTTTTTCTTATTTTTGTCTGTCGTTCCTTTTTTTCATACCAAATAACTCTGAACAACAACTTGAACTTTAATTTGAACTTTAACTTAATGGATAGCGGTACTCATCCAAAGCGCATTACACAAACGACATATGGAAATCGGTCTAAAAATAGAACATATTTTTTCCAAAATGGTCAAGTGGTTTTACCTCGTAGTAGTAATGGGATAACCACATCAAAGAATGACATGACCACATCAAATACTGAAACAAACACATCATGTAGTGTAAAATCGTCAAATTTTGAAACATCATTACGTTATGTTAAAGCCATATAAAGAATTGGCAAATCATCATTACGAAATAACAAAACCACATCATGTAATGAAACAACTACATTACGTCAAGTCACATACACATCAAGTAATGTTAAAACCATATTGCCTAATGACACAACCACATTAAATAATGGTGAAACCACTTTGAGTAATGACGAAACCATATTAAGTAATGACAAAACTATTCAAGTCAATACGAAACCATATCATGTAATATCGGAATATCATTAAGTAATGACTTTTCCATATTGAGTTATATCAAAACATCATTACTTAATGTCAAAATCATATTATGTAAAGACAAACTATCATCAAGTAATAACAGAACAACATAACGTTATATCAGAGTTCCACATAAGACAGCCTTGGCGTTCCATAAGAAAAACTTGGTTGAACCTTTGGGTCAGATTAGCTAAATAAAAAGCGTGTTTGTCAAATTATTTGAGAATACTAGTTTCAGCTTTTAATTACTAGTACCAAATCGCTATGTCATTGTGTACAAGACATTTTGAGTAACAATATTGCAAAATATTAATGTATAGACCAGGAGGTTATTATGACTGTTGATTTAGGAATTGTGTTATTTGAGGAATTTGTATGTCTTATAGATTTCCGAGTTGAAGCGACCAGAAAACAAGGAGTTATCATACCTTTTCCTTAGGAGTGACGCTAACCATTTTGAACTTAAAAAGGGTCAAAAAAATATATGTTCCCAACATTTTCTTACTCTCATAGAATATCACTAATCATTATGAGTAAAAGTAATATTCTGATGCTTTCAGATTTCTTTTTTGTTCTTAACGTTCCAAATGGTCGACAGAACATATTCTGTTTGGCAGGTCTTCTTGATCTCAGTTTTCTTCCTATGCCTTAATTTTTAAAAGATAACCTGATAAATGATGAGAGATGCCTAACATGTGGAAGCGCATCATCTCCCTTTGTTGGAAGTCAATGGTATTCCCTTTTGTTGGTCTATTTTTGTAATTGTTGGGTTTCATTGCTCTTCAGCTTCCTAATTGATTTGGTATTCAAGCTGTTTTAAATCGAACGTCACTGATGAGTCTTGTGTAGACAAAACGCGCATCTTACTTTTAAAAGCCAGGAATCTTTAATGAGTTTATACGACGACCTTTTCTCTCTGTGATCCTATGTTACAGTTTCAGTGATCTTTCAAATAAGCTGTTAATTGTTCGAATGTTTTTACCGTTGACTTTCAATTTGAATTAAACAGAATTTTTCTTTGATTTTAGTGGTTTAAGTGTTTTCAGTGTTTTTTTTCAGTTATCATTCGGACACTTGTAAATGACGGCTTATTAAATGGTTTTTGCAGCCTCCATTTTCATATAAATACCAACTATATGAGTAGATTATACATTTACGTTTGGTTCTTTCCTTAACTATAAAAATAAAAAGAGTAGTATGATTGCTTATGAGACAACTCTCCACCATATACCAAATGACATAGAAGTTAACAACTAAAGGTCACCGTACGGCCTTCAACAATGAGCAAAAAACATACCCCATAGTAAGTTATAAAAGCCCCTTTAGAACGAAGTTCAAATTATAAGATAGTACTATTTTGTTATTTTATATATGTAATTGTTTTATCAGTGACTAATGATATAGTAATGCTTTTTCACGTTAAGACGAATCCAATCAAAGATGTGGTGCGATCCTAAGGAATGATATTACGCAGCCACCAACCTACCAGTTCAGACCTTGTTCAGATCACTTGCATGTTTTATGTATGGACGAAACCGACTCAAGTAAGTGTAGTGATTGCTTTTTTCATGGATATCAGTGATTAGAACAATAATATTTTTTGGAAAACACACATGAATATAGCTATGTAGTACTTGTATATTTTGTTTGCAATATAACCAAAAATGCACGCCTAATTTTCATTATCATTATCAGTACCAATTTAACTGCGCCGAATACGCATTTGGACCATTAATATAAAATATGGAGAGTTAATATGATTGCCAATGAGACAACTATCCACAGGAAACAAAATGACGTAGATGTTAGTAACTTTATGATAGTTATTCACGGTATGGCCTTCAACAATGAGGAAAAACCATACCACATACCAAGCTATGAACGTCCCACATATCAAAATGTAAAATAATATAATGAGAAAACCAACAGCCTGAATTATGTACAAAATAACAAACGAAAACCAAATTGGATTGGCTTCTGAATTGGGATGAATGCACAGAAATGTTTGATTCTAAAATATTTGAACATCCAAAACTAACTACAAACGTAGAAGAGCCACGTTGTAAAAAGTGTACTTTTGGCTTTCAAACTATTTTCATCGGAGCGTCACTTGTTTAGTTTTGTGTGGACGAGACGCACGTCTGGCGTATTGGATTTTAAACCTGGTGCCTTTTGTTAGCTATTATTCGTGTGTTTCTTTGTCCTATATGTTCTCCCATTTATTTGTATTGTAATCCTGACATGTAATGTTGTCATTTTAATGTTATATTTAACATTGCCATAAAAGCGGGAGGTTTGGCATGCCACAAAACCAGGTTCAACCCACCATTTATTTCTTAAAATGTCCTGTACCAAGTCAGGAAAATGGCCATTGTTATATTATAGTTCGTTTCTGTGTGTGTTACATTTTTGTTGTGTTTTTGTTGTGTCGTTGTTCTCCTCTTATATTTGAAGCGTTTCCCTCAGTTTTAGTTTGTAACCCGGATTTGTTTTTATCTCTATCGATTTATGAGTTTCGAACAGAGGTATACTACTGTTGCTTTTATGTACAATATATTCCAAGTTGAAAGAACTAATCTCTTAATTTAACAACTTTGAATAAGTTTGAAGTTTTCCTTAAATGTAAAACATTATGGCTTATGGCAGATATTCAAAGAATTTGCACAATAACTGTATAGTTTCACTTGGTTAAAAGTCCAAATTCTGACTTGATGTATCTGCGTATTCGGCGCATGTTCTTAACAACGACCTCTTAATTCAAGTATTAGTGTCGTCTTAGAGAGATCAGGGTAGCCATATTTCTACACCTAAGCACACATCAGTTTATGTATGCATTAAAGCAAAACAGTGAAAGTCTTGACGGTACCGAACTTTGTTTTAAACAAGAACGTTTTTAATGTACACACTTCGAGTTCTTATTTCAAAATATTGTTTATAATTGATTTTAGTTTTCTTTACAATGTAGGTTTTATAAGCACCCCAATATCAATAAATAGTGATAATCAAATTCCTGCAAACTCAACAGAATCAGCGTTCGATGTATCATTTAAGCCTACTTCTACACAGATAGCTGATGTACAGAGATCTGGTGTAAAGAACAATACATTTGGTATGAAATACAATACTTGAAACACCAATAAGTCGAAACATATCTCCCTTTACAACTTTGACAAGAAGAATGATAGCGAAGAAACACGCTATATATTGGTTTGACCATAGCCTGACTGTATACAAATACACAAAAAAATTGTAAGCTGTTTCCATTTTCTATAAAAAAAAATTTATTAAAGGCAAGACGACTACGGTTCGTTCAGTCCATGTATAATACAATGGTACGGTAAAATGTCTGGAAATTCATATATGGTGAAAGAATGTGCCAGAATGAACAAACCTCACGAATACTATGTAGAAAATATGAGTTTTTGTGCTGATTGTACAGATTGCCAAAGTTCTTTGCAATTTACATATGATTACCAGCCGAGTGTTTTCCCCCAGCAAATATGCAGTAATCTTTTCGAAAATAAAATCATGTCTAAAAATATAGACCTGAAAATAATAAACCTTTTAAAAATTAATTATACGGCTTGCAAGTTATTATAATTACTATATATATATATCATTTCTAGTTGTAGGAGAAGTAGTCATTGTGAATGTTGTTCTCTTCGGACTGTGTATTCTCGTTGTCATTATGATAATCCTAAGGTAATAAGTATTTTGGACTTAAATATTAGTAAAATAGATGTTCTTTTTTTTAAAGCAAAAACATGTAATTTCTAAAACACATTTAAATTATGATATTTATGTTAATAAATGTGACTACAAACATGTCAATTTGGAGAGATTATAACATTCTGTCACACTAATATGTTTCAAAGAGAAATTCAGATTGACACTGTTGACTTACATATATACTTTTCAATGAAATAAAATATAAGTAATGAACAATGATGAAGTTTTTTGATAAATAAAAAGGAAATGCCCATAACCTTTTTTTTGCACTATAGTGTGAAAAAAAGTTACCTAAAAGTAACATTATGCATTTTGCATTTTATTATAACTTCCTGCACCAAAGACCCGCATAGGTGACACCGGTAAAGCCAAATCGAAAACCCCAAAACGTGCCAATATATATATACATGTATATATTTGTCAAGATCCAATGATTAAATATCTAACAGTTCAAGGTATAATACCACCATTGTTTTCCCCTGTTAGTCTTTGTTAAATTTGCACTTTTCAAAAAAATGTGCAGAATTTATCTTTGTTTCACATAAAGAAATACTTGGCATGAGTAAAGTTTTATCTTGTCCAGTACTACAGACAAAATTTCACATAACATTTCATTGCATATAAGATAATAACCATGACTGGAAGTCATCCTTTTTTTCCTGTGTACAAGCTTTAGTAACCATGTAACCTCAAGTTTCCACAATATTTTAAAGAAACACTAAATAAAAAAAATGGTGCTTTGAGACACCCAAGATGTATGTTTATGACTTAGAAATTTTTTACTGCAATGAAATGTAGGATTGATTACCTACAAAAGAGGGACGAAAGATACCAGAGGGACAGTCAAACTCATAGATCGAAAACAAACTGACAACGCCATGGCCAAAAATAAACAGACAAACAGACGAATAATAGTACAGATGACACAACATAGAAAACTAAAGACTAAGCAACACGAACCCCACCAAAAAACTGGGGGTGATCTCAGGTGCTCCGGAAGGGTAAGCAGATCCTGCTCCACATGTGGCACCCGTCGTGTTGCTTATGTTATTACAAATCCGGTAAATAGTCTAATTAGGTAAGTCACAATCGTGAAAAGGGAAGGGTATTGCAGTTACGACATAAGGAACATATCCGATATCATTTGTGAAATGGTTATTCCATAACGGTCAACCAACTCGTGATGGCGTCCGTAAAATTTACGAAGGGATGATTTCAACTTCACCATTTGGAACTCTTGGCTTAATAGCTTCCTTGTGAGCAGCAATCCTCTATCAAGGAAATCATGATAGGAAACACAAGCCCGGGAATATCGTATCAATTGGGAGATATATACTCCGTATGCAGGCGCTGCTGGAATGGTGCTACATAGAAATGGAAAGTTTACAATTGGGAAGCTGAAATCATCTCTTTTGTCGTAAAGTTTTGTTTTCAACCGACCCTCATTGTAAATTTTTAGATGTAAGTCAAGATATGAGGCAGACTTAACTGTATCTGTAGTGTCCTTTATCTCTAGTTCGATGGGATAGATTCGTTCAACATAGTCACCAAATTTGTATTATTTAGTGAGAGAACATCATCTATATAGCGGAACGTACAACTGTCAAATTCAAGGGAATTTTTTTTTTTACCCTTTTTCGTATGCAACCGGATGTGACGTACTATGATTTGGTGGTTTTATACATAAAGAAGACTTTTTCTTGTTGAATAAACTGAATGTGATTTTTTTCCTTGTAATACTGGTTATTTCAAGCATTACTGTCAAGTTTTGTCATAATCAGTTCAGTAGTTTGCGAAAAATCTTTTATAATGTAAGACGACATCTACAGCGATTCGAGCAAACTTTCTTCGAAAAATCCAAACCAAGCCGCATCATGATAGAATATAGTGTGGACCAATAAATGATCAAATATTTATCTCATCTGCCTACAAACAGTTAAATATGATACAAAGGGTGACTCTATGATGATAAATACCACTAATGGACCTCTTTGTCTTCATTATTAGGTCCCTTTTGGTCTATTTATGCCTCTCATTTCCTCAAAATTTAAACTTTTGAGGCCACTATATCAAAATTTTGGGGTAATTTTTACACATCTATGCAAGAAATGTGATAATAATGAGTAATTGAAGTATTCAAGTTGAATTTACTATCCATATAAACGTTCACTGACTCCATGGAGGTTTCAATAAGTCCTTACGTAAAACTTAAATTTACGCCGCGCTCCAGAGAGGGACATAAAATGCTTCCCTTTTAGTGAATAATTTGTTGTTACTGCTACAAAAATAATTTCATTTACTTATAACTGTATATTTTTTAAAGTATTACTAAGGAAAAAAGTTTTCTATTATAGCAAAATATAAGAAATAAGGCGAATAAGTCAGAAAAAGCTCCCAAAAACAGAGTATTGCTTGCTCTGTCTACTAATATTCATGGTAGAGTCCTATTTCAAGGCAATTTTCTCTTAAAATGTGTTTTTGAGACTCAATTCACTCAAAATATTTCATTTTTGCAATATTTCACTGAAATAGCATGAGATTTTAACAAATAAGAGTACATACAAGGTCAAAGGTGCATGTGCAGCTTCCCATAATGATTTGGTGGTATTACACCTCAAGTAGATTTTTTTTATCAAATTGTAGCCAAGGGGAAACATTTCTAGGACAGTATTTAAAGTGGTTTGCTCTATGATATTGCTTTAAAATTGAACATGAAATATGAATTTTGATTTAAAATAATAACAATAACGGAGCTAATGTACTAAGAAATGCAAATGAACTACCAATCAAAATACCAATCACTCGGCTGTATACGTCATTTAAAAAAAAACAATTTTCATGATATCAAGAACAATACATATATAAAAACAAATACTGGAGGCGGAATAATAGGAGGAAGGTTATAAAACCTGACAAAATCAAACGCTCGACTATATCAACCAACTGGAAAACAACTGCCATTTTAAAAAAATAATTGATTAATTTGACAATGATTAGGACCCAGCAGCCAAAATAATGAAAACATACATCATAGATATACAAAATTAAACAAATTAAATAATCAAGACAAACATACAAAGTTACTTTTCTTTGTTGTGTTTGTATGTGTTATATATGTTCAAATGTGTTAGCCATGGCTATTCATTGAAACGTTTCATTTAAGAATCCGTTTTAATTTTCTGATATTATGTCAATGTCTATTACCATTCCATAAAAAGTTACACGTATTGGGAAATTATATTCATCGTATTCAAAAAAGCACAAAATACATATAATTAATTTTTATGCATTCAATTTCAGAAAGCGATTGACTTTACAAGTTTGTCAAACAGCCAAACAGAAATTTCAAAGGTGTAACATCAGTAAAAATCCAATGGTACAAACAAATGGAAATAGTGAAATGAAGAACAGAAATAAAACTGAATTGGTTCGTGACAGCTATGACGAAACTTGGGAACTTCGTCGTAATATAGTTCATAATGGCGAACTTGACCAGCAGGATATCATTATTGTTCAAACGGAGGAAACGGAAATATGAAAAATTCTATTGATAGTTGAGAGCAATTGAAATTTTGTATTGTTTTTGCTAAGTTCAACAACTCAAAACCCAACTTTCACTTCCTCTAGTTTTTGCCTTCATAAATGACTCATATAGTTTAATACAAAATTCGTATGATATCAATTCCGCGCGACTAATCTGTGTTTCTCGGACAACTATAAGTAGATACGATCGAGCCAAAAGTTTGAAAAGACAAATACATAAAACGTTTGTAACGAGCATGAGTTCAAATTTAGCTAATGAAAGTACATTCTTACTTTTAAAACAATGAATGAGCTTGTAGTCTGAAAATTAAGTTATAAAATGTTATATTACTTCATTCAGATAACGACGTACTGACGTCGGGACATATAGTTGTGTATCGGCTGTTTTTAAGAACACACCAACTTTAAGTATTATAAAAATTTCCCGATGATCATCTTTATAGATGTTATGAAATCATGTTATGTTCAGTCTTCAAATCCTCATAGTTAAAAAAAACAAGTTTATTTACATTCGGTACACTCTGTACTCTGTATATTACATATTAATAAAAACTGCAAAACCTGTGAGCTTTGTATTACGGATGCCTGCTTTTAAAGTAACTTGGCAATTTAATTAAGTGGCGAGACGTTGTAATGTACTGCGTCCATTATTGTTTAATGCATAGAATGTACTCTGTGAGAACTGATTTATGTCGGTGAAAGACGAAAACGGATAAAGGAAATAAATTGACAATGAGGGTCGGTTGAAAACTAAACAATTGATACGATATTCTACAGCTTGATTTTCTTTATCTATAGAGATCCCAGTTTTTGACGGGGTTCGTGTTGCTCAGTCTTTAGTTTTCTATGTTGTGTTTTGTGTACTGATGTTTGTTTGTTTGTCTTTTTCTTTTTTAGCCTTGGCGTTGTCAGTTTATTTTCCACTTATGAGTTTGAATGTCCCCTTGGTATCTTTCGCCTCTCTTTTGCTGCTTACAATGAAGTAAACTAAGTTTATTAGAATTCGACTGATGATTTTTTTCTGTATCTTAATTTATCTTTTGTCCCTTTTTTAAGCACTACTTTTCATCATACTTAATTGAAAGATCGGGTATGTCTACTCCTTAAGCAGCACTTTGTCTTCAAAATTGAATCGTAGACACACATCATTTGTTTAAGGTTACACAAATCTTACTTGTATACACTTTGAATATATTACCAGTTGGTTTAACGTTTTGATCGGCTACATATTTGACTAGTTTTGTCTGGTTGATATTTCAATAAACTGTCTGTATCTCTAAGCATATTGATAGTGCATCCATACTTGAAATGTTGTATTTGTATTTATGTGAAGCATATTTCATACTTAAAACTACTAATACAAAAAGAAAGAAAGAAAATAAGGTGGCATTGAGATATAAACAAAAAATAATAGACGTTTTCATACTTTGCCTAAGAGAAGTACATATTGTGATATTTTCAAACATTTCTTAAAAGTGATAGGTCACCGAGCTTGTTTTCAAGCTACAGGTTGTTAAAAAAATATATACATTTTTATGGACTATAAAGAGAAAATGTATCATTAGGTAAATAGAACGTAAACTACATGATAGATTTTTTTAATAAAATTTGAAATATACGAAATATTTTTTTTCAGAATATCAAAAGAAAAAAATTGCGGTCACCGTAAATGTTTGCTTCTTGAACTTGAAACAGAACATACTAGTAGATTCTGTAGATTCCTTTATAATTATACAATATTTGAGATACCTCCTCTTAGTGCTAAGTTTGGAAAAAGTTAAAATCCTACCAAAATATTCTACCATTGTAAACATATTAGTAGTTATAAGATAGAATCACATAAATGTGTTCATTTAAATGAAAAATTCCTTTTAGTAAATTGCATTTCTGCATCGATATTTGCTGAATCGATTGGAAATCTTGACCTCTTGTGTTCTGCTTATTTACAACCCAAGATCACTGAAGACTCCCATACTACCATAAGGCTTAACCATTTGATATAGTGGTAATGTGTGTCACTGAAGTAATCACATTTCAGTGAGTGCTTTCATCTTGTATATTCCAATGAAATAGACATGTAGGATACTTCTAAAAATAGCAGGTCAGTTTAATATATATGAATCTCTATGTTGACAATGACACAGACGGACAACTTCAAATTAGGATCTGTAAAAACCGTGACGATTTTATTTTTCCAATTGTCAACTTTCAGTTTTAAGTAGTAACACATTCTCTGCCGCATCATAAACGTATTTCAATATGCCTTATCTGAAAAATGTGATCTGCTTATGTACTATGGCAAATGTGTCAAAACTCCTTATATATTTTATCACGATTATATTGTTAACAGAAACTCTATCTAAATTTCAAGTAAATATTTACATCCGTTTAAAAGATATGGATATCATGAAATACATGAAATATAATACAGAAATTTTACTCTGTACCTGGATAGTTACAAATCATCCATTTATGTGTACCAGCTTATCTAAATAAAAAAGGAAGAGGTGGAAGATTCCAATGGGACATATAAAACTCATAAGTCAGAGAAAAACAGACAACGCCATACAGAAAACTAAAATACGACCGAAAAACATATAAGTCCACAAACCAGTACAGAGAAAATCTAGTTTGGAGCAACACGAACGCAACCAAAAACGGGATGTGATTTATTGTTCTCTGGAAAAATAAAAGTATGACAAAAATACTCAACTCCAAGGTATATTCGAAAAGGGGGAAGTCTAAAAAAAATGACAAAATCAAACGTTTGACTTAATCCACTAACGGAACGAATGGAAAACAAGTGTCATATTCCTGACTTGGTACAGGAATATATATATAATTAATATTAACTGATTGATTTATTGTTTCAGATCTCCATCATTTCTGATGTCAATTAAAGATATGAGAAACAGTGTTGTACTCATTTATGATAGAGATGTCTCAACACTTTTGAGAACTATTGACGTAACATTACAACATGCCTGCAGTGAAGTGCCCAGTACCGGACTGCCAATATGAGATAGATGATCTCGATGCTGTTGTGGTTGCAGCATTACTTACAACACACGCAACAGTTCATTTGGCGGCCGCTGGTGCCATTGTCTCAGCAAAAAAAGAAAAAGTAAAACGTCCAACTGTTGCATCAGCTGGTTCCAGTGAAGATTGGTCATAATCTGTCTTTCGATGGAAAAACTACATTCAAACAACTAAGGTCAGCGGCAAAGACCTTGTTATTCAGCTACTAGAATGGTGTGATGAAACTTTGCAACAAGACATTACACGATCTGCCGGTGGCTCATTTATTGATAAATCTGAACAAGAAGTACTTGCAGCCATGCAAACACTAGCAGTGAGAGAAGAAAACACTATGATAGCACGTGTTTCTATTCATGGCATGACACATGATCGCGATGAGACAGTTCGTTCATTAGGAGCCAGAATCCGCGACCAAGCCAGCGTTTGTAAATTCATATTGTAATTTCCAGGATGTGAACATAGTTTCCACAGAAGCTATCTTACGTGATGTACTTACCCGTAGACTAAGTGACCCTGATACTCAGTAAGATCTCTTAGGAGACAAAAATCAGGACATGACACTAGTACAAGTCTTCAAATTCGTTGAAGCCAAGGAAGCCGGTATGCGTTCTGCGTCAAAACCTTCTTGATTCACAATGCGCTGAAGCTGCCTCTAGTTCATACCGTCGAAAACGAAATGCCAATGTTACCAAAGACACGAAAAAACATGATAACAACAAGGTTGAACTATGTGGGTACTGTCGAAAAAAAGGACACGGAAAAGGTAATCCACCCAAATTCAGGAAGAAAGAATGTCCTGCATACGGACATACTTGCAAAAACTGTGAACGTGAAAACCATTATGAATCCGTATGTCGAAGCAATACCAATAAGCCAAAAGTGAAACAAAATGAAGAAACTGAAAGTGCTATATTCGATTCTCTTTGTGCGGCAACTGTGTCCCCTCAAGGGAAAAATAACTATCCAACTTGATCATCATCTTTACTCGCAGATGTAAAACACATGGGTTAAACGACCATCACAACCGCAGCCGTTCATCAACATAGTTTGTTAAAGTTGTAGAAGATGATTACAAGCACCTTGGATTTCAAAACTCTGTAGTGTCTAAACAGAGAAATACAGTCATTCCTGCAATGGCTGACACTGATTGCCAAAGCTGTTTAGCTGGAATCAAATTGCTTCACAAAATTGGACTAACAAAACGTGACCTCATACCGGTTAATATGCAAATGCACGCCGGTAACAACAAAGGCATTGTTATACTTGGGGCTCTAATTCTCATACTATCAGGAAAGCACCAAGATAACCACGAACTAGAAACTAGACAAATTGTGTACATCAAAGACAGCTCAGACAAATTCTTTCTCAGCAAAGAGGCTTGCATTACACTTGGTATAATATCTGAGAACTTTCCTACTATTGGTGAAATCACCGGAAGCGTCCCTGATACTTCCTCACAGACAAACGATGAGAACAGGTTCAAAACACAAGTTGATTGCAACTGTCCAAATATGCAAAAACTCCGATACCAATGAAACTTCCGTTCCCACTCACATAGGAGAACGTATCGAAACTCAAAGACTCTCTACTTGAGCACTACAAGTCGAGCACTTTTAATACCTGTGAACATCAACCACTACCACTCATGGAATGTCCACTGTTGAAACTTATGATCGACCCTAAAGCAACGCCAGTTGCATGTCATACTCCGGTTCCAGTTCCCTTGCACTGGCAGGATAACGTGAAAGCATCCTTAGATCAAGACGTCAGGGTAGGTGTTATTGAGCCCGTTCTTGTCGGCGAACCTGTAACATGTGTAACATGGTGTCATCGTATGGTTATATGTCCCAAAAAGAATGGGAAATCGAGACGAACAGTATATTTTTAGGCTCTCAACGCTCACGCAATAAGGGAAACACATCACACACAATCTCTTTTCCATCAGGCAAGATCAGT